GTTTTACGAGATGTTTTCATTTAAGAACAAAGGTTGTACAACTTGCATTGTAAATTATCGTTTGAAAGAAGGCCCGCTTCTCCTTTCCAGGACAGAGCCTCCGTACCAGTGGAAAAAGCATTAATGTTTTTTTATTAAGTATTAATTGTTTCATTCGTGGGAAAGTCATGCTGCAACTATTTTACGTTAATGGACCAGCTCGACCGGTGAAAGACCACGGATATTTTACTCTGATATTCTGCGAGAAAGTAAAATGCAGCATAATGCTTCTATGTTTCGCATGGTGCCTGTAGAGAACCCGAGAACCTTCTTACTGTAAACGAGGCATTCTATTTGTCCGGGGTGACAACGCATCACCATTTTGATCCTTATCGAGGATGAACGTAAATGCCTATGGACCACAGTATCCACTTACCATCTTGTAAATTGTGTGCCCATTTGTCACTCTAATTTATCTATTCTGTAAATATTCTTTAAAATAAAATTGTATTGTAATAATTTAAAGTAAAATGCACTATTCTATTCTGTAAATACTAGGAACAGACACAAGCTAGTAGTACCAGTTACTCGACTCCATCGAGTCAGTAATTCATTCTTGGGGCGATGTATACGCTTTTACAACAAAATTCCAGAAAATATACAAAGTTTGACCTATTCAAAGTTCAAAAACTTTATTAAACTAAGTTTGTATAAAAAGGGTTATTATAATATTAAGGAATTTATAGATGATAATAACCCCTGGAAATGAGGTGATCGCTACCAAGCTATTTCTAATTTGTTGTGTTGTTAATTTGTATAACATCATGATTGTAAGCTGTTATTTAAAAAAAAGTCCCGCTGGGTTTCTTGCTGGTTCTTCCCAGGACAGAGGTTTTTTCCGAACCAATGGTAATCAAACAAAAGAGTGACTTTCAATAAGTATTATTTATAATCTATATTGAATAAAAAAGTTTCTGTTTCTGTTTCTGTTAATTCTGTAAAAAAAAATTGTATCATGCCGTGAGTATCGTAAGAGCAGCAGCATCTTCCAACTCAAAATAATATTAAAAATGGCGATTGTCAACCTGTCTGCCAAGCGTCACAGTTACGGCAAATATCCTCCCTATAAGGCAATCTATGGGGGAGCCCTATGGACAGAATCAAAATAATCAAAATATTACTTGTATATGTCAGGGTAGTACAGTGATTATAAATAATATAATAATATTTAATATAGATTGCAAGTGTATTTTATCGTGGTCTGCAAATATAGAAAACACTTTATTTACCTTATGTAATATTATGTTTATGGAAGTCATTTTATCAGTCGCTAATCTACTTTCTAACTAAATGTAGAAGTTGACTCGTTATAAAAAGGGACGTCCGCATACTCGTAGCGCGCAGCTTACCTATCAGCTTACCTAATATATTATATATGGGGTCCAGGATTCGATACGCACTCAATTATGACCACTATTAAAATCACAATTAGTAATGTAAATATAAATTATATAAATATATATTATAAATTATCAACAAAACATGAAGGTCAACACGTGCACATGAACATATATTACATCATTCATGTAAACATTTTCACGCACTTTACTCTACTACTTGGCGATTGCATAATTCTGGTGGGAATCATTTGGCGATGGATATCATTTGGAAAGAAACTACGTAATGTTCTTTTTTTAGATATTTCTAAGGAAAGTCCAGTGGTGAACATAGGCGTCCCCTATAGACAGGGGGAACGCCATAATCGCCTCGCTTGAGAGCTAGATTATTTTAACCGCAGTTTTTTTTTTATTATTTTCATCTGTTATCAAGTAGACACTGCCCACTTCCTTTTACAATTTCTTTATGACACCTACGGAATGATATGTGATAGTTATGGGGGTAGTGAATGGGATTTTGTAACTCAAAATAAACTGCGTAGATCGGACCAAAACTAATAATTAAAAAGCTCAAGGTACTCCGGGTTAACCTCTGACATCGGGACGTAAATCATCTCAGTCCCCCGTGCCCGTGACCATGGGTGTTGGAAAGCACTCGAAACTTTGGGAAATAAATATAAGAACAATCAAACGCGTTAAAATCAGTAAAAGTAGTTTTATTCAAGGTATGTTCGCGTAAATATAAGAAATAATTATCAAAATAAGATATTAATATAAAAAATATAATATATACAACGCCTTATGATCGATTCTGATACATTTCCACAATAGAACGAAACTAAACCAAACTTTACAAAGAAACCAACCACGATTCCCACCAGAGTAACACAACGCACAGGTTGGGGTTATCAATCATCAAAAATTTTATTGAATATAATATTTTTATTAAATTATTGATTATATTTTATTAAATTATCGTAATATATTTGACATTCCGATATAAAAATAAGATTTTGATTATTGAATGGTTGGCAGCTATTAAAAAGCTATCATTTTTCATATTCCCAACATCATGTACGATGTTGGGAATGATAATAATCGAAAGGTAAACAACACTTCTAACCCCCTAACCACGCAAACGGTTTGGTATCTACCGTAACTGTTATATTGAAATATCTATACCACTAATCCATAACACAAGTTAGGTAGTATTAAAAAAAAAAACTCTAGATTTAGAACCCTGGAGGAAAATTTAATAATTTAATTGCTGTTTCTTCTCTCCGTCACAGTTCCTATAAGTGTTACAACATACCAGCATTCACATGCCACTGTTTCGCAAATTACGCATCACCAAAGCAACAACTTAACATCGCTGTGAATATTCTCAAAGCGAGGTTTTGATAGGGGATTTGAAAGCAATGTTCACTTGACCTTGAAGCCTTTGTTTTGTAATATTTGTACGCGTGTGTTGTGTATTTTTAGATGTACTCTTAAATTATTGGATAAAATGTCAATTTGTTTGTCTACATCGCATATAGCTCAAAACATGAAACGTGGTAAAAGTGTACGTCATTCTGAATTATTATAATTATTTATTGCTCAGAAACGTTTTAAATATTGCGTTTTTGTCTCGGTCTCAGCTTGGGTGCATTTTTGCGGCACTATAACATAATATATTGCACCAACGGCATTTTTCAATATTGCTATCGGAAATTGTAGTAATCGAGATCGATTAAATTACTTAATCATGTACAGGTTATGTATTGTTAAATAATCGTCCATGCTCAGATGACAGTTGACGTACGTAACTATCATTGCAAATTATCTTTGTTAGAACTATGAAGTTATATATCGATGCCAACAATTGTTCGAGCTAATATAGAAGCACTCCAAGTTTGCTTAAGACGTTTCGTCTTACTTAGATTTTGGATTTAATCGTTGATCGTGAATTTTACAGTGTAGGACAAATTTCGACCATGATAATATAACATTAATCATTACTGTTATAAATTATTGTCATATATGTTCATTAAATAAAAAAAGTTTCTATCTTTCCGTCTTTCTGTCTGTCCGGGCTAATCTTCGGAATGGCTGAACCGATTGTAATGAAACTTTACGAACAGATAGAGCGCAATGCCAGGAGGAATCTATTAAAAAATCGATTATATAAATGGTTATTATCTTAAATATACATAACGCTACATTAATAGATTCTATGCAGGCGTAACTAGAACGGATCGCTACTTTATAATATGAAGTGTTTTAAAAGATCATCTCATCTAAACATAATAAAATTGTAAACTTCGCCTGTCTGTATTCTATAACCCTCCCCGCCGGCTATCACAGGTAGAAGTCATTAGTGAATATCAGAAATTCTCAATTGACTGACAAGAGTACATACAACTATTGGTGATACTGACCAAATTCCAGATCCCACCGGTAGATAAAATTGAAATAACGCCAATTGCTATGTTGCGTGTGACCTTTGTGATAATATCGAAAAGTACAACGAATGTTTCCGTCGCGATCACGAAACTGGGTCAAAAGGTTTAAACTAGATGCTCGCACAACTTACCTAATCCACATAATCGGATGCAACTCGTTTTAATGCTTCTACTATGTAATGCGGTTGGGTGTACCGTTGTCTAAATCTCATAACGTCTTATGTAAGCAAATTTAACGGTCCGGTATTATACATTCTTTAAAAAAATTATGTTAATGCTAAAATTGCCCAATATTATCTCTTACTCACGTTCTTTTATTTAATGTTCATTTCTTGAAATGCTTATCACATTTTTCTTTAAATAAAATTCTAATAAATTAAATTGAGATATCTCAAAACTAAACAGCCGGTATATAGACGGAGAAGAATCCGTTTCCTCGGATTCCATGTGTTCTCAAAATAATTTAATAATTTATCACAACTGCAGGTTTCCTCACAAAGTTTTTATTCATCGCTTACACAATTAAAAAATTACAACATTTTTATTTAGCAATTTCGTGAATGCTGACAAGCATAGGTAATAAATAATGTCCTCTAGACCAAATTTCGGTCACGGCGTCTAGCCTCAACGAAGACTAGCCATCTGCCCTGGATAGGATTATAAGGCCGAAGTGTGTGCGCGAACACATCATGCACTTTTTATTCCTTCACTCTTATAGTCCGGTTATCACAGTACAGGCAAACGGTTTTACGTGCTTTGTCTCGGGCACGGGCGGGAAACACCGCCAACTTCCTTACCTCTGTATGCTACTGAGAACTTCGTGACAGAAAAACCTAAGAACTGATTTTGTTCCGACTCGCGATTGAAACCCGGAACCTCATGATCAGTAATCGCATTTACGACCACTAGATCAACGAGGCTGGCAACGAGGTCTTGGAAATTGTATATTCGATGTATACAATGTAAAAGACAGACTTGGATACTGCATCAAAATTTATTATAGATTATATTGGACCAAAAATGGTTATGTTTTATCGTTTTTGGCAGATAAACTCTGAACTCCAGTCTGCATTATTGGTATAAACGTGTTTTAACGTATGGTATTTACGTTTCGGGGTAAATGTATAGATATTATTAAATTAATTATCCTTTTCCTTTTTCTATAATTTTAGGCATCAACATGAAAGCCACACTGTTACTGTTGATGACAAGCATGTATTTAGTGGACTCTATTCCCCCACCGCACCCTGCAGTGGTTGCAGTTAGAGAGGAAGAAGAACATCTGCCAACACACTTACGTAGCCCAGCACTGCACAACCCTCATCTTCAGGAAATACTACCTCTGACCAGTCTTCTACACAGTGGCGAAAAACCGGTATGAATATTTTTTTTTATATAAATACGATAACCAACGAGCACACAGTCCAACTGGTTGTAAGTTGATGCTGTTATTCATAGACATGTAGATCTACCCTCAATTAAGAATCAAAATTCAGATGCGTTGTAACCCCTGAGAACTAAGATGGAATGCTTCGTTTCCAATACCATACCTAACGCAGCAGCATTTAGCTGCTATTTTGCGCTGGTATTCTGTGAGAGCGTGGTTTTTCCCCGGTCGAGCCGACCCATTCGTCCTACTACTATAATATAGCTGCAGCATGGCTCTACTGCGTATGACATATGTTGGTATGGTTGATGCATATTGACACATTTGTTTGTAATAAAAAGAGTGCATAATAAGTTATTTTTAGTAACTATTTCAATTATAAAAAAAACGTGTGTATGTACTTATGTACGCACGTGGGAAGTTTTTTTTTTATAGGAGAGGGGGGCAAACGAGCATGCGGCTCACTTGATGGTAAGTGACTACCGTCGCCCATGAACAACTGCAACACCAGGGGAATCACAGATGCGTTGCCGGCCTTTTAAAAAGGAGTACGCTCTTTTCTTGAAGGTCCCTAAGTCGTATCGGTCCGGAAAAATCGCTATACTTCTTTAGCGTAACAAAACAAAAATAACTAAAAATAACTGCTTTAAATATAGTTATCAGTTCCCACGAAAACTTGAGAGACAGTTACCCACTGAAGTTGTCGCTGTGAGGTGTCAGTGTGCGCGCGCATCGTAAAATTCACTCTCATAATTTTTCCCAAACGCCCTAAAAGAAGTATAACTTCAAAACTAATGCTTAAAATAATGTTAAAAAGCATATTATTAAAAAATGGTATTATTTATAGTTACGACAGGCCCGCAGAAAGATTTGTGATTTTTGAAGTTATACTTCTTTTGGGGCGTTTGGAAAAAATGATGAGAGTGAATTTTTTACGATGCGCGCGCACACCTACACCTAAAAACGACACCACGAAGTTGTTACAATGCGCGCGCACACTGATACCTAAAAGCGACAACTTCAGTGGGTAATTGTCTCTCAAGTTTTTTTTTCTTTTGTTACGCTAAAGAAGTATAACTTCCTACTTGCGTACATAATGCGCCTGTTTTAAATTATTATGAAATTACGATTATTTAAAAGTAAAAATACGAAAAAAATTCCATCTTTTTTTCACGAGCGAAATTTATCGTATTTCGTTTAAATATTTATCTGCGCAACAGCTTGAGCAGCAAGCTCGTTTCGGCGTCTCAATAATATTTATAAGTGATAAATTTTTTATTTATTAATATGATCCAGAAAAGAAACGCCAGCCGACGATTCGATAAATGTAGTAATACCTAATAAAGTTAAGAACATTTTGATCGTAATCTGGTATCAATCTCTTTACGAAATCGAAGTAACATTAATACCGCATGGTATAATACCTAGTGCTCGCAGGAAGTAATCACTGCTGTGGAGAGTAAGCAACCGATTTGGTTCTGTGTAAGTTCTTTTAATAACCAAAAATATATAAATCAACTTAAAGGTATACAGTTTCAATCACCGAAAGATGTGCTAGCCCGTTCGAGCAGGTTGTGGAACTGAATCAGAGTGGAAAAAATGTTTTAAAATTTAGTTTGGACGCATGTAACTATATGTATCAATATGCTGGTAACGACTTCTGTAAAAAGATTTAATAATAAAAACTTTACCTATAAAACTTTTTTAGTTTTGCAAGACTTTCTGAGTGGTATACAGAGTTTATTACTGTGTAATGCTTTTATTTACTGTTGTAACCCCATAAACGTGTTATCACGTCACATACTGAAACAATTCCTGTTTTGTTTTATAACAGCGAAAAGTGAAAAGTAACATTGATAGGTATATATATAAGTGTAATGTATAAGTACTATGACCGTTTGTTACACTCGTTTGAAGTTACATATAATATAAACTTTACTAAAAATCGAGGCCAGACTCCAGCTAAATGTTCACAATATATCATTTTGTCATTGAATATGAGTTAATGAATAGACTTTTAAAAATACTCATACCTTGAAGATGATTTTTGTCTGAGATTTTAAAGAGAACTGGTTTAAAATATTGCTTTTGTATTTAAGCTTAAAAATAAAATATGCATACCTAACCTGATTCTGCTAATGCAAAACCAATGTCCGTATGATGAAAAGAATTTCACAACATGTGCATAGCTCAAGAACATCAAGCAAAGATTAAATATACAATTAAGCGCTTTGGTTACATATTCATTTGATAAAAATCATGTTCTTGAAAATTGTTTTGATTTCGACATTACTATAAGGTCACGCTAATTGTTATATTGCTTAATAATGACATTAATGTTTTCTTATATTAACGCGAATTCTATACACGGAATAAAACATAATGGTTGGGACGATCTTGAATATATTGACATACCGCAGATTTCCCGGAGCGTTGGTGCTTCACCAGCTCGTCAACGTCCATTGCTACTCGTAGTTCTGCTTGAAAACGCTCATTATAGAATATGCATACCTAATGGATATATCGTCCATGTTGTAGAAAGAAATCTTAAAAACTTTACTCTAATTCCTGTTTCAAAATAAGTATAATGCAAATGTTTCCATATAACTGTGAAAATTGTTGAATGATACTCGGCATTTTACATGAGCAATTTATAAATGTTCTTACAGTTGCCATTTATTTATTGTATTTAAACTTCATTTGCAAAAACGTGTACAGTTTAAACAAATATTATGTATTTAAAAATTAATAATATATTATAGAATTATCCATTTGTTACTTTATTGATATTTTAAGCAACCTACGTGTTTCATGAATTTCATATGACCGTTTTTTGTAGGTATACCACCGTGAGGCAGATTCTGTGTCACGCAGGGAAATCTACGATATTCTTACCCACGCTGGATTATTTCCTCGACAACCCGGACTCCCACCACCATCATATTATAACAATCAACGTCACAACAAATCGCGCGCTCAACATGAAATAACTAGCCCTCAACACTTTGATGTACCATTTTTATCGAGTACAGATTTACTGCAATACTTGTAATAAACGTGTGCCGCCTTTCTTAATACTAAATATTTATAACTTGTAATTAAAAACTTGCTTTAAGTTCCGTAACATTTAAATCGCAAGTGAATTATGCAATGACGCTATATATCATTGGAATTATGTAAAAGCTCTTTCTGATCCATCGCTTTAACATATTTGTAGTCTCATTTTTGAAAACATTCAATACAGATTTATCTTATTGTTGAAACATTTATTTGGCGAAAATTATTTGCTTTCAAATTGAAAAATCAACAAATATTCTAACAATATTTTTGTACTAATTTTGTAATAAAATAGGATATTTTATTTTTTCCTCTATATCCAAAATACCGGCCTTTTCATGACCGCGCCGACTGGCACTTTTAGGATTGGCGAGCGCCTAATTTTTATTGTAAGTATACTCTGTAAAAATGTATTATTAATGTATTTTAATTAAGTTTCTTAAAGTAAGTTGTATATATATGTTTATACATACACATATATGTTATCTCACGTAGTAGAGATAAAATATCGAATACCACTGTCTTTGTTGAAATCTCATTGTGTATTATTATGTATGCCTTTATAGAATAACCTAAATGTGTTAAATAATTGTGTGAGTTATTGTATATTGTAAGTAAATATGTTGGAAATCAAATAATTAAAAGGAAATGTACATAGCTTTATGAATATTTTGTACAAATTTGTAGAAAATATAAATAGAAAAGTAACATATGTCGAGTTGATTTTTTACCGATTTCATTATTATTATAACCTTTAACATTTTTAGCGCTTAGACATGATACTTTTAACATTAGGTACAATATTACTCTTTACTATCCTAAGTAAACTTAAAATGCTTGCTTGCACGGCAGTAGCCGAAAGGCGTTTCAGGCTACTGTCACTTAAATATTACTATTATGTATTCACAGCCTATAAAAGTCCACTGGTTACCATGGCCTCCCCATAGATTGCCTCATTTTGACATAGATGTCACTTATGGCAGGCGGGTTGGCAACCACAATTGTTATTATTTTGAGTTGTTATTACGAAAATGCCCCTGCCGATCTCTATTTATAGTTTCCCTCTGTCGCCTCTTACGACACCCACGAGTCGATTTGGGGTATGATGGGATTGATTTGGTGGATATTCTTACACCGGAAGAAACTGCACGGTTGGCAGCATTTTATATTATAACCTAATATTTCGGTGACATAACAATATGAAATCCACTATCACACACTGAAACAGTGTGGCTGAATAATTACTTTATAAACCCTCTCTGGAATGAGAAGAAGCTTGTGCCCAGTTATGAGACGTATATAGGCTGTAACATCACTTTACTTTACTTCACTTCAATAACCTGATTAAGTTGTTGTTCATTATGATAGAAGGTGGCGTCATAGTCAAGTATTTCAGAAATGCAGTTATACGCAAAAGAAGAAAGAAAAATATGTTCGGCCGCTCTTTCATATGGCAGCAGATTTTATAACGAAGGAAATAACTATTAAATGATTTAAAATTTAGTAAAATAATTTAGGTCTCTTTACAACTTAAAAACGAACGAGTTAGACTTAAAAAAAGAAAGAGTTTGTCAGATTGACTGTAGGTATGTTTTTGTATGCACATTATACTACATCTTCGACAAATGTGAATCGAGTTTAATGAATCTTTTTTTTTATTTAATAAGATGTACGTCAAGGGGTTGTCCTATTTTGATGACAAAATTCCACCCCTAAGAATGGAATACTAGCGTTAATGGAAAACTACACTTTGGACATTTTAACTTTTGCCATGAGTGTGTTATTATATACATATATTTACATTGTTAAAAAATAGTATAGAATTTAATCTAACTAAAAGGTTACACACAATATATAAAAATAAGCTTAATAAAAGTTGAGGTGTCACCGCATATGTTAAAGATTCATGGAGTGTAGTATCTAATGAACTGTTAAGTGATCAGTGCGATTGCTTAAATTTAAATTTAAGTAATCAAGTTACTGTTCTATGAATATATAGGTCTCCCTGTATTAAGAATGTGAATAACTTTTGCCTTTCTCGATAATTCGTTATCGGAAATTAACAACAGGCATGCCGTGGTGTTGACAGGTGATTTAAATATAAATATAAACGAATACCCACTTGATGATCAGTGCACCGAGTATCTATGCTTGTTGCAAGTCATCAACTGCTGTCTGCTATCTCGGAGCCAACCAGGAGCTCGGCCTGCCTGGATCACATATTTGTTAGGGGTACAGATTCTGCTGTTGGTATAGTGTGCCATGCAGATCTTATTGATCATGACATTTGTTTACTTGGTGCTCCGGTCAACCAGGTGAATCACCCATCTTCTTGAAACCACGGTAAGTTCAAAATAAATTTTAATCGGATTGTTGACAAGCTTGAGTCGACTGATTGGTCTTTGATAATGAAAACGGAAGATGCTAATGAGATAGCTGATGAATTTAACTCAATTCTAGAAATGGCAGTAAACGAAAACACAGGCTATGTGGTGCCCAAACGGCCAGAACGGGTTATAAAGCCATGGATAACTCCAGGCTTAATGAGATGCCAAAAACACCGAGACAAGGAGAAACCCTTATAACACATTGATCAATCAACTTATAAACGATATAGAAACTTCCTTTATGCGCTACAACGAAAATTAAAGACCGAATACGAGAATAACCAAATTCAGCTAAACAAAGATAACCCAAAAAAACTGTGGAAAACGCTCAAAAATATATGTAATCTTTCACGTAAGACAAACCAGGCTACTGAATTGTTAAACATTGACGAAGACCCAGATTCTTCTTTAAACGCTTCTAACGAGTACTTTTCTAGAGTTGACAGAGAACTAGCAGATGACACACTCAGTAGATTAAACACCCAGGAAGACCTGCTAACTGCAGAATACAAACCAAGTGTGCTTTGCAAGGACTCCCTCTTTCTGCAGCTAACTGATCCGTATGAAGTTGGTACCCTTATTGACCAGCTAAAAAACGATAGTACACCGGATATCGACGGCTGCACCCCAAGGTTGAATAAATACATAAAACACACTGTTCTGCAACCACTTACGCACATATTTAATCTTAGTTTGTCATGTGGTATTTTTCCTAATTGTTGGAAATTAGTAGTTGTTATTACAATACACAAAGATGGGGATGAAAACTGTCCTATCAATTAGAGGGCCATATTTTTACTAAGTATATTTTCCAAGTTACTGGAAAAAATTGTAAGCAAGCGCTTTACCAACTTTATAGAAAGTAATAATCTGCTCTCTGTAAATGAATTTGGCTTCGAGAAGGGAAAGTCCACGGAGGATGCGGTAGTTCTACTGACAGATGCTATGTCTAGGTATTATTATTATTTTTTTTTTAAAAAAGCGTTACCCCCACACTAGGATTTTCTCCTGCGTCGTGGAGGCAATTTACAAACATAAATTGCACAAGGACAAACATCCAGACCCGGAACAATTATTTGGAGGCCATACAAATACTTGTTCCGTGCGGGATTCGAACCCGCGGCCCCCAGCGCAACAACTGATTGCTAAGCCACTGCGCCACGGAGCCGTATTAGGACATTAAACGCAGCTGTGTAGGTATATTCCCGGATCTTGCTATTTCATTCGACACCGTGTCGGTCCCTATACTGCTGCGGAAGCTATAACAAAAGAAATTAAAGGAGAGATGTTGGCTTGGTTCCGTAGCTATCTTTCAGATCGTCGTCAATGCATAAGAGTGACTCACATATAAGTAAGCAATTAAAAAAATCAGTATTGGAGTTCCTCAAGGAATTACTCTTGGTCCAATCTTTACATCAATGACGTCCTAGAATTATCCATACATCGAGCAGATATCATCTTCTATGCGTATGATATAGCCATTATATTTAATGATTTAACTTGGGATTGCGTACTCAAGACAGCTCTAAAAGGCGTGGTGTTGTTAAATAAATGGTTAAGTTCTAATTTGCTAACTCTAAACTACAAAAAAACTATGTTTTTCACAAAACTCTCGCATCAAAACCATTTTCGCTGGTAAACTTAGTGCAATTCACAATTGCGAATCTAAATCGAATCCCTACTGTTGGTTTTCTAAATAAATAAATAAATAAAATACCTTCATGCGGCTGTAATACAATCAGCAACACAGATGATATGAGGTATCTCGGAGTGATCATTGATGATAAGGTATCATTTTAAAACCAACTAAGCCGCTTGTCGAGTAGTGTATGTTAAACCATTTACATAATGAAAGCTTTGCGACCCTGTGCTACTAAAGACGCAATGAAAATTGTTTAAATAGCACTAACACAATCCCTACTATACTACTGTACGCTGGCTTGGGGTGGGGCTATCAAAACAAAAATGCTCGAAGTCGAGAGGGCCCAGTGAGCAGTACAGAAAGCAATGCTATCTAAAAACTTTAGATTTGCTACTGACGAACTGTATAGGGAATGTAAGGTGCTACGGGTTCGCCAAATCTACATTTTAAAAGCAGTAATTCTAACCCATAGAAAAATAATAAATTCTCCGGATTATCATAGCCTGTGCAAGCGTCGGATCTTTCGATTCCCAATTCACACAGTAGCTTTATAAAACACCACTCACCATTTCTTCTGCCTAGCATCTACAACAAATTCTGCTGTCTCTTCCCAGATTTGAGTTCTTTGTCCACAAGGAAAGTCAAGCACAAAATAACAATCTGGTTGCTGCATGCTGCTTATCAGGAAACGGAAAACTTACTTTCTCTTCATAGCTGATCCCTACATACGCACACATTCCTAGAGTAAATTAGCCATATTTTTACTAAGTATTTATGAATTAATTTATACTAAAATTTTAGCATTATTTTAACATAATCGGAGTCCTATGTATTAATCGGTGTAAGTGCTGTCAGTCACTGTTCTTAGTTTCTGCGACACAAGCCTAGAACTTAGTGCAGAAACCAGTGTATTGTTTAATTATTAAATGTCTTTTTTGGTTAAATAAATATATTTTCTATTATAAT